TGAGATGATGATGGATAAGCAAGTAAATGACATGCCCATCATTTGCACATAGTTTCAGTTTCTCTGACAGCCTGTTGAGACTCACAAAGGCATTTTGTATCCCTTCCGTAAGGCACTTCAAATATGGGCTTTTAAGTCTTCGTTATCTTTTATTGTATCATTTAAAAACATGACCACCCAAGCTTCAAGTCAGCTCTTCTCCTCTGAATGCAAGACCACCAGGACTTCGGGAGGGGGAGAGCTGTGTGGGGGGAGAAAGATTTACCCACCCTGTCATTTAGTTGCAATGAAAAGAGAAGGCAATTTCCACGAGGTCCTTTACCTGAATTTACAGTTGAACCAGCAGCTTTTCTACTAGATCTGACAGTGAAGAAACAGTGGCGCTTTGTTTTTCTGTCTGACAACAGCAGCAGGGCTCTCTTCACACACAGATGGAAGGACTTCCACAGTGACTTCAGCCCGGTTCTACTGAACTGGTGCTCTGAAGATCAGCTTAGACCAAACTGGTTTGCTCAGACAATCTTCGTCTGTTTGCCCCACCCACCTGCCCGGGCTCCTTTATTTCCTGCTTTTTCCACCTCAGCTGCTTTGCGTGGCACAGCTGATTGTTGTGTGTCACCTGGGTTACCCACAGGGCTTGCAGGAGAAGGTGATTTACAAACGCTGCACACGCAAAGCGAACCGGTTATTACACCAGGTGAATCCCCCCCCCCCCCCCTGCTGGACTTACATATACCCAGAATGGAAGAATGGATGGGGAAGTTGACTGCTTTGGTTAAAGAAGTTTGTCTAGATTTCCTTCTACTTGGAAACCACTCTTGGATTTGCTTGTAATTGAAAGAAATTAAATTTAAATCTTGGGTTTTTTTATGGTGATAGATTTCTTTATTGGCCAAGTGTGATTGGACACACAAGGAATAGATCTTGGTGCATGTTTATAATGATAAACATACTGTTTGTTATGGTTTATTCTAATTCAAAGAGTTATTGATACTTAGGACTTTACCTTTTTCTCTATAGCTTTTTCTCCTTTTTGTCTGCATTCTCCAATTTTCCCTCCCTCCTCCTACCCTTTTCCCCCAGTTCTTCCTCCTTTGTTTTCTTGTACTTTATGTTTTTCTAAAATTACAGTCTTTGATATGACTTCCATGGGTTGATCCACTATGAAAAACTCTTCCGCCACCAGGGCATAACTGGGGCTTTTCCCATGAGATTTTTCTCCCTTCGGAGCAAAACTCTATGGCTTCATTCCTCTAAGGACTTTTTGATGATTTGTACAGTTTTGTTTTCTGGCAAAACTTTTCCCAGACACCCCACATTCATAGGGCCTCTTTCCTGTGTGCCCCTTCTGGGGTCTCCGAAGTTCAGCCGACTCCACAAATCTTTTCTCACATTCTGGGCATTCATAGGGTCTGACTCCAATCTCTTATATTGAAATTAGGTGTGACTTTTCCACAAAACATCTCCACGTTCTTTTGACTTCACCTTGTATTCTCCACCTTCCTCTTCTAAGGGGTCTCAATTTATCATCTATAAGTCCTCTACTTGCGACCACCATTGAGTCCAAAATCTCTGTTAAGTGAAACACCTATTAAGTTTTCCCCATTTTACGACCTGTCTTGACACAGTTGTTAAGTTAATCACTACAGTTGTTGAGCTAGTCACATGGCTGTTAAGTGAATCTGGCTCCCCCCTTTGCTTGTCAAAAAAGGCGCAGAAGGGGATCAGGTGGCCCTGGAACACTGCAACCGTCACAAATGTGAATCAGTGGTCAAGCAGCTGAATTTGGATCACGTGACCCTGGGGATGCTGAGACATGGTCATCAGTCACTTCTTTCAGTGCCAGTGTAACTTCAAACGGTCACTAAATGAACTGTTGTTTGAGTCCACTAGCTGTATTGACAAATCGATGGGGAAAAGCGGTTCAAAGAAATGAGAAAAAAAATAAAAGAGATCAGGATATCACACTATCCATTTATTGCGGTCTCCTCTTTCTTTTCCATAAAATGCTTCTTGTGCTGAACCTTTGGGTTTTTGGGCATTGCCTACTTTTTCTATTGTCAAAGGTGAACCATAAAAAACCCATACCCTTCCCATTTTAAAATCCTCTTTTAGCTATTGGTTTTAAAACCAGCGAATGCACTAAAAATCTGTTAATGTTTCCATTAGTATTTCGATCTCTTCCAAAAGGCCTTTTAAAATTAGCACAAAATTATCAGCAAAGTCCTTCTTACCTCCGGACTTCTGTTGTGCTCTGGGATATATATCCTGTTTCTATTTACTTCCTGGATTTTTTAATCCTGCCCAACTAAAGAGAGACTTTTGGTGGCTTGCAAGGTTTTAACAGAAGCCTTAGCTTTCCCCGTATTTTGTCAGCACTTTTGGTTTTCATCCATATCACTTTTTCTTTTTAAATCCATAGAATCATAGGGCTAGAAGGGACCTACAACAGAATAACAAGAGCTGTAGTCTTCTAGTCCTACCTTCCCTGCCCAAGGCAGGAGTCTTCATACACTTCCAGACAATTTCAAATTATATATTAGATATTCACACTCATATCAGATTTTCACATCTCAGCATTAAAACTTTAAAAAAAATATAACAAAATTTAATTTGGCAAAGAAAATTTAAAGGAGGCAATTTTAATGGACAATCTCCAGGAGGCAAGAAGTTCCAATGCGCAAGGAAATGTATTCTCATGTTACACACCTGTAAGATTTTCCTCCTGTGTGGATTTTTCATGCGCACCTGAAGATTTGATGATCAGATAAAAATCTCTGCCACATTCTAAGCCCTGATAAAAGATTCTCTCCAGTAAGAATTCACTGATGCTGAAATTGTATTTTTCCAAACAAACCATACGTCACACTTCAAAGACTTAAAGTGCATCTTTCCTATCTGGATTAGAGTGTGATTTTTAAGGGACGGTTGATTAAGAACATTTTCGCCCACTTTTCTGTCCTGTCTCATGCCCAGAGGTGGATTTGTGGCTATGCAGATGCAGACAGATAATTCCACAAAACATCCATAACAAAGTACATTTATTGGTACATCAGGTATCTTCATAAGTCACATGTGTGATGAAGCTCTTCTATAATAACCAATCCTTTGTATATCAGCATTGCAGGTAAAAAATGGTTATTTTCCTAACCCATCACGTAGCGATAGAAAGAAAGCTGTTATCAGCCCATGAGTGCAGGCAAGAATGGAGGGAAACCTCCCCCAACCCTTCAAGGGTCAATTTAGTGGCCAATCAGGATTACAGATGTGGCTACGTGACATGAACTACATTTCCCAAGATACCTTTAGCTACATTTACCATTTACCTTAAGGGAACAGCTCACAATTCCTAAGTAGCTAACCAATTCCCATAGACTGGCTGGGACAGCACACTCCCCACCTGGAATTGTAAATTCCACTATTAAAAGAAGAGAAGAAAAAATTAACTATCAACTAAGATAAGCAGTAAACAGTAATACTAACTCAATAGTATATAACTAAGATAAACAGTTAGCTATATAACTAAGGAAAAACAGTAAACATCAATAAAGCATCAAACAAAGCGAAGCATGCAAAACTTGAGGTTCAATCTTCAAGTTCGGCCTCTTGGTGCTAGTCTGGTCACCTCTGGCGGCCTTTTAGGATGTACAGGTACTCTTGTAGGCAAAGGTGAAAGTCTGATGGTCGCTTCTGGCAGCCTTTTAGGGTTGACAGGTATTCTAGGTACCAGTCGTGAAAGTCTGGATGTCTCTTCTGGTGGCCTTCTAAGGTTGGAATGGTACTCTTGCTTCCATGGTGTCAAAGGGCGTCGGGAAGCTTTTGGAAAGGGCGTTGCGGAGGCATATGCCTGTGTAGAGTATCTTAGTGGATGTCTGGTGGCTGTTGGCGGCTGTTTAGGGTGTTTTAGCGAACGTGTACTGATTGTGGCGGCCTTTGAGGCTGGAACGTCATTCTTGTTTTTGATGGTGCTAAAGGGCATTGGAAGGCGGGTGGAATGGATGGTGCTAAGGCATTTGCCAGGGTTGGAGCCTGCATCTGGGTGTCACTGACAATTCCTACGATCCCCCATCCTAGTGGAGATTTGATGGCCACTGGGCCATCCACAGGACCACCTACTGACTTGGAGAAGAGAAAGGCGTGTGGGGCATTATTTCCCAGCAAGAATAGGATATCAGCCTCTGGATCTAGAGCGGGAAAATGATGAGCCAGGTGCTGTAGGTGAGGTATGCTACTTATGACCTCAGGTGTTGCGATTTGACTGCAGTCGTTCGGTATCCCGCATTCAAATACGGGCGGTAGTGGGAACCGGGTACTTCCATCTAATGACTCTATGCAAAGTCCAGTGGCTCTCCTCCCTGCTGTGCTTCTTGGTCCGTGGCACATTGATACAGTGAAGGGAAGTTTGGCCTGTTGCATCTCAAAGAATCTGAAGAATGTGGGTCTGGCCAGGGTGCAGGTGCTTTGAGTGTCTATCCGCACGTACATTTTCACGGCATCTTTAGGGCGTCCTTCAGGGTACACTTTGGCTAAGCAGATGGGAAGACACGAACGAGGGGGTGGTGAGTCGGTGCACAGTGCTGTGCAGTTGATGCTCAGCCTTGGTTGTGGTTTGGCAGTCTGCAGAGGAGCCCTGCATGATTCTGTGTCACACTGCGGCTCCTTGTCCAAAGGAGGGTTACGAGGTATCTGCTGTGGCGGCATGGTGTCTGGATGCAGCGTGGTCGGGTGCTGGTCACTTTTGCAGATGTGACATTGCACTTTGGTTGTGCAATATTTGGGCGAATGTTTGGATTCGCAACACTTGTAGCAGTATTGGTACTCCTTTAGCAACTCTTCGTTGGGTCAGTGGTTTAGCTGCAAACCCAGTGCAGCTGTTCAGCGAGTGACGAGTGTTGTGCATAGGACAAAACTGGTTTCTCCTTGTAGTAGAACTAAATTGGATTGTATCAGATGAGTTCTCTCCCCAACTGTGTGAGGACGAGGAGTCGATCTCGGTGTCATGGACAACCATGAGGGGTCTTTCTCTGGTACTATGTATAGGGTCAGCCATGAAGGGTCTTTCCCTGGTAGTATGTATAGGGCCTGAGGGCTATATATGGTTGCTGTTGTATCTTCTGGTATTAGGAGGACTAACAGCTCTGAGTCCACGGGCTCAGTATGTGTTGCACACTGTCGCCTGGTAGGAGACAAATTCTTCAAGAAGTGTGAAGGGTACAAAGTGGTGGCGACCCTTGGCCATAAAGGTGTCAGTCAACTGGAGCCAGTTTTCAATTAGCACCTGCAGAAGTTTTCGAACAATTTTGTTCTGTGTGTCAACGTGATGGAGACAGGTGAGTGTCGGTAAGTTGGGATTCTGTTGTGCTGTTCTCAGCTGGACAAGTATATTAGCGAGGTCTATGATTCGGCAAGTCTTGTCGATAGTAATGTTAGGAAAACTGTTGAGACTATCCAAGAGTGTTGCTTCTACGTCCTTGGGTGCACCATACAGTTCGTCAAGCCTTTTCCATGATAATCGTAGGACAGCGGCTGGATCGTCAAAGTGGGATGCCATAAGTGACCTTGGTATGTCGGAAGACTGTGGCCCTAGCCATGCTATCAATTGTCTGATTATCTCATCGGGGTTCAGGCGTGCCGCCTGAATGGGGCGCAGAAAAAGTTTCTTCCAAACTAGATATTCGCTGCCTGGCTTATCAGAAAATCTGCGAACTCCATTGATGTGCAAATTTAGCTTTCCACTGTGTACAGCCAAGTTTCTCCAGTAATCTTCAGCATTTGCTGAATTGGGGGAGGTACTGATGTAGAGGGTTCTCCCCTGGATTCTCATAGGGTGGGTTCGGGTTGTAAGTCAACGACGGGTTGTAATCTTCTTTCCAGTACTTACAGAGGATGTCGTCTTCCCATACTGGGGACAATGGTCGAGCGTCACACTGCTGTGTAGGTTGGGCACGGTTACCTTGTGGTGCCTGGGAGCCGGATTGGTATTGAGGTTGTGGCAGGAATGCTGCTGCCTGTGGATTGAGTGTGGCAGTTATGATTGGTTGCAGGTCAACTTGTTGAGAAGTTGGTGTGAGCACTGGTGGGCTAGTTTGCTCACCTGACAGGCCATGAGACATTGGAGTAGGGTTGCTAGTATTGGGAAGAGAATCTCGGACCTTATTATGTACACCACCAGTTGGGGAAGGTTTGCTGTTGGAGGGAAGTGAATCTCGTACTTTAGGTCGTACATCAGTAGCATAACTAACGTGCAGAATTTGTGGTTGAGATTCTTCCCTGTGCTTCCCTGGTTGTGGGAGACTGCTAGGCAACTGAGGTGGTTGCATCTGCTCTTTGCGAAGCGAGTGCTGCTCATCTACGTAGGCCTTGACCCGTGTATCTGGGCTCTCTTCTCCCAACTTGTTGAGGTCGAAGTTAAGGGAGGCAGCATTGGCCACTTTCTCCATGCAGTGGCTCATGCTGTTTTCGCTGCCGTCTCTCTTTGTCGTTCGAGTAACTCCACTTGGCCCTGAGTTTTTTGGCTATTTCTGCTTGTTGATTGGCCAGTTCAGCCTTCTGCCGTATTACCTCTGTTGTAAAACGTAAATCTGCCTCTGCTGCTGCAGCTTCAGCTTGGGCTTCTACAGCTCATTTGGCGTAACTTGCTGCTTTGGAGGCCTTAGATGCGCCGCTATGACAGGAGGATGTTCTGAAAGGATGATGGGAGCCAACAGCAGAGAATTGGCGCGAGACACTAGAACCTGCCTGCGATCTAGCCAATTTGGGATGAAGGGAGGCGGCTTTCTTAGAATGGTGGGAAGAAGCTGCTTGTGATTGAAGACCTATGTCGGATGTGGACTTCTCCCTCGATATTTGCTCTTTCTGTAGTGCAACAAGCAGCACGGCCTGGAGGGAGTTTCTGCCTTCCCGAACGATGTCTTCGCGTTCTTTGTTCACCTCCTCGAAGCACTGAATGTGTTCCTGTAAGTCTGGGTCGTCCAGGTTCAACTGTATGTATTTAATCTTATTTTCACTGTCTCTCCACCGTGCGAGGTACTCCTCTAACTCCTTCTGCATCAGGAAGAGGCTATCGAGGGGCAACTTGCTTTTGGGGGTATCACAGATCTTGACCAGTTCCGTTCATGTGTCTGAATGACAGCGATACTGCCTTTCCCAATCCTCTCTGAAGCATTTCACTGCGGGTGAGGTAAGCTTCCTATGCTGTCTGAGGTCGTAGGCCTTCTGAGGTATTGCGGCTTTTCCAGAGGGTTGGACATCTAAAGGCAGTTGTTGTGAATCAGGCTCCACATTTACATCGAGGGTGGGTGGAGGATTCGGGTCTTCTGGTACATCAGAGACATCTGTCATGGCTGAGGAAGTTGCCATGCTTCAAATTGGCAAAGGAAAAATTCTGGAAAATTTTAGTGATTTTTTGTGTAATTCCTTTTTTTGTAATAGGGTACGCTGCAAGTAGGTAGCAGAAAGTAGAATTGCTGCTGGATTTAATACTTGAGCATATAGGTGGCACTGCAGAGTCTGGGCAATGCTAGCACAGCACACGGTATGGCTGCTTCTATGGTGCGGTGTGAGCTTGCGACAGAAGGGGGCACTAGAGGTTGCATCACGAAGTCTGAGGACTAGAGGGCTGAACGCAGAAATATGCACAGCATAGCCTGAAATCTTGAGGGCAGAATGCAAAAATATGCCTATAAGGGTCGCTTGCTTCACAAGGTGGCAGCAGAGGGTCTGGAAGACGCTGTTGCTATGCCCATATTAGGTTGCAGTTACTCTTGGGACCTTTGAATTAAGTTGATTAAATGATGCACAATAATTTCATAATCACTCTGGTCAATATTTGAGAAATTGTGAAAAAAAAATCACATGAGAAAAAAAAAAATTTGTTGACCACCAGAAGGGGGCAGTGGGCTGAAGAGAAAAGGAGGGGGGAACTCCCTTGCCCACTCTTGAAAATAAAATAAAATGACTTCACTGTAAATTTCTTCTTGATCCCCAGATGAAGCTGGTAGGTAATCTTGGAACATTTGAATTAAATTGATTAAATGTTCACAATAATTTCAAAAGGAGTTATCAATGCAAACAAGTATTGGAAACTCAGGGAAATTTTTCTTTGAGTTCCAGATGTTGCTGTGGGCTGCTTTAAGACTCAGGAAATCTTCCAGAGTCCTGCTAAATTTCCCTTTTGTAATCCAGACAGATTCCTGATCATCTGTGGGTGGATAGAGAAAGAGGGGGAGGGATTCCACCTAGCAACCAGGCTTTTGAAAGTTGAGCAGAGAAGAGGGGGGTGGGTTAACTTTCTAACCCACCCCCCTCTTCTCTGCTCAACTTTGTTTGTAGCATGTGGGGAACCCCAGCCCCTCCCACCACAAGGTATTTTAATGACTGACTGCCTGTGGAAACTTTAGGCAGAAAAAGATGGCAAGTCGTCTTCAGTTGCTAAAAATTGTAGATTCAACTGTAGTAACTGGGGAGAAGCAAGGCAGATGGGTAACTCTGACTCCTCCTTTTGTTTTACAAATTGAGTCTTCCCAGTTAAGAGTTGAAATTTGAGACAAAGCACTTCTCTCGCTGATGAAAAAAGGAGGAGGAATTAGCCCCTTCCTGGAACTAGATGTATCTTTATCAGTTGTAAATTGGCTGGAAAGGGTCTGTTTATGGCTTTGTCTCCCTGTATTTGCCAGATGAGCAAATACAAGCAAGATACAACAAGATTTCTCAAACTTTCTAACTGAGGTTTGATTATCTTTGGAGAACCGGGAAATTTCTAACTCTCCTTGTTATGCAAACAGAGTCTCTGAGATAGTAGGAAGGCAAATTGAGCAGACAGGAGGGGTGGGTGGTTGGGTAAAAATGTCTCTTTGTAGCATGTGGGAAACTCCAGCCCCTCCCAACTCCACAGCATGTAAAGAGTTCCAATGCTGAGAGAGAGAGAGAGAGAGAGAGAGAGACAGACAGAGAGAGAGAGAGAGAGAGAGAGGACATGCAGGTTCAGATCAACATTGCACATTCACTCCTGGCTTCAATATCACGTTGCTTTATCACAAATCCAAATAACAATTTTACTTTTCTGATGGGTTAGGATGCATTTTTTACTTTTCTGTCCTGTCTCATGCACAGAGGTGGATTTGTGGCTATGCAGATAGATAACCCCACAAAACATCCATAACAAAGTACATTTATTGGTACATCAGGTATCTTCATAACTCACATTTGTGACGAAGCTCTTCTATAATAACCAATCCTTTGTATATCAGCATTGCAGGTAAAAAATGGTTATTTTTCTAACCCATCACGTAGCGATAGAAAGAAAGCTGTTTTCAGTCCATGAGTACAGGCAAGAATGGAGGGAAACCTCCCCCAACCCTTCAAGGGTCAATTTAGTGGCCAATCAGGATTACAGATGTGGCCCCGTGATATGAACTACATTTCCCAGGATACCTTTAACTACATTTACCATGATGCATTCCCTTAAGGGAACAGCTCACAATTCCTAAGTAACTAACCAATTCCCATAGACTGGCTGGGACAGTATACCCACGATCTGAGAGTTTCTAATCCCCCACTCTTTATGAACTCTTATACGACTTCTAAGGGTTGAACACGTACGAAAAACTGTTCTACCATCAGGGGCTATTAGGGCTTTTCCCATGCCAGTTTTCTGATATCTCACTTTTGAGCAAAACTTTACCACATTCTATGCATCTCTAAGGCTTCACTTGCATATGGACCTTTTGATGCCTTTCAAGGTATTTTTTTTGGAAAAAACATTTCCCACACTCCACACATTTCTACGGCTTCTCCCCCGTGTGGATTCTCTGATGAACCCGAAGCAATGTTCCTGTGAGAAAACCTTTCCCACACTCCTCACATTTATATGGCCTCTCTCCTGTGTGCTTCTTCTGATGCCTCCGAAGTTCAGCAGACAGCACAAATGTTTTCTCACATTCCAGGCATTGATAGGGTCTTTCTCCAGTGTGACGTTTCTGATGTTGAAGTAGAGTTTCCTTGTAGCCAAAACATTTACCACATTCTGAGCACAGATAGGGTTTTACTCCAGTGTGAATTCTCTGATGTTTAATTAGGGATGACTTTTCAACAAAACATTTCCCACATTCTGGGCACTGATGGGGTCTTTCTCCGGTGTGAATTGTCTGATGTTGAAGTAGACTTTTCTTGTAGCCAAAACATTTCCCACATTCTGAGCAGTGATGTTTTTCTCTGGTGTGAATTCTCTGATGTTGAATTAGGGATGACTTTTGAACAAAAGATTTCCCACATTCTGAGCACTGATGGGGTCTTTCTCCG